TGTTGCTATTAACAATATGACTGATGTTGTTGCTACTAATGGTTTTGCTTCCATTCCTATTGATGCTACTGTTTCTATTAATATTGCTGTTACTACCACTATTACTAATGCTACTGTTGCTGCAACTATTGCTGCTACCACCATAACAAAAAAATAGCATTATTAGTGCAGTGCCAAAAAAGTATTAGTTTTGTTTTTCTGATTGTCAACTGCAACTGTTTAACACGTTTCCTATTAAGGGTATGGAATGCCACAGAAAAACAATACCCATCTCAGAAGAGAAGAAGCTGTTTGCTTTTAGAACATTCTCTTAAAAAGTGCCAAATTCTCACAAGCCTGTGACCCTGCCTGCCCCTGCACAGAGAACTGAGAGGAGAGACAGAGCAACGGCTATCACTGAGGCCCGTAGAGCCGTGTGGAGTGTGGACTGCATGCTCTGATGTGGAGAGTAGTTAATAATCTGAGTGGGACTTTCAGGGCAGGGAGTATCAGAGCGGTAGGGGCACCCGAGGGGCGAGTAGGCTGCCAGTGAGCTCAGGCGGAATCTGAAGTTGATTAGGCTCTGGACTCCAGCTTCAGTAATGATACGCACATGCTGCACTACAGGGCCACAGGTCCTGCAGGCTGCTGGCTCCCCTTGGCCAGAGCGCTTCACTCCTGCGGGCTGGGGTAGCACTGCAAGAGCACCCTGTGCCCCCAGCTGAGCTGCTTTCCAAGCACGGGATCCAGACGTGCACAGATGTTTCCTCAGTGGAATTCCAATCTGAGACCGAAGAGGGTGGCGGTGCCCTTCTGAAGCCTGCAGATGCGTGTTAAAGGGCTGAGGCTTCTTTCAGGATGTGGGATTTTACCGTTTCTTCTGAGCTAGACGATTGTTTTTCATTTACTTATGTACGATTAATCATGGGCTTTGGCGAGAAAAAACCACGAGCATTCCCTCCATGCCTCTGTTTTTTTTTTCAGGGCAAAAAACAGGCTCAGTAACAGAGAGAATCAGATGGCACAATAATATCCAGTACTTATTATTTTATCATCCTTATTTTAATTGTAGACATCTACTCAGTACATTTACATCATTAGTTTTGGGATGAAAGAGACAGATACTGTGTTACTAATATAAGGAATATTACAAGACAATGCACTGTATTATATTACTATGCTATTATAAAAAGCTACCAAGGGCTCCAATAAGCACAATTTCAAAATTATATGTATTCACAGAGTCACAAATATAGAACTTAAAATAATATCATTTTAAAAAGAATATATCGATTTTAAAAGAAGTATATTTCAACTGTAAATGCACTTGTTTATGTTTTTTAAAGATATATATTATTTATTTCATTCTTAATATGTTTGAATTTCCACATTAGGTCATCTTATCTTATTAAAACAGCAGAATCCAGCCTGTGTCTGAGATGACTAGATTTTTGCACAATTGTATATTAATAATTTTTTTGTCCGCAAATCTCAATGATTTCAGGAGATAATAGTATCTAAAGATAAAAAGGCTTCTATAAAGTGTATAAAATCAGGCATGCAGTCCCCCATTACCTATTCATTTATCTATTTATTATTATTATATATTATAGTTGTGATTTCATGTACTTCATGTGAGTTTACATGACTTTTATGTTTCTCTTGTATGTTTTGTACTTTTATGGGAGAAGCCAAAGACAAAAATTCCACAATAATGGGAAATAAAGTATCTATCTGTATTCCTATAATTTTGCTCTTAATGTGTGTTTCGCCCATCACTGTGATCTTGTTTAGATTTATTACTTTACTAGTATAATTATTTTCTATTTCAAGCTTGGCAAAAACTTCCTCGTCAGACGTGCCACAGACAAACCTGAAAGTCTTTGATTTGGAGACTTAAACAAAAAGATGATAAGTTTCACCTGAGCACCCAGGGAAGAAAACCCTTTTGATACGGATTTGCCTCGAAGCAAACAAAGACACCTTTGTAACTGTTGCGTCTGAAGCAGTGAAAATCTCATTGCATTGCTTCCTCACAGTGGGCCTGGGATTTATTCAGAATGAGATTGCGGCTGAATTGTTTTCTTTGTTAGAAAATATATCCATGGATTTCATAGGTACAGTCCAGACTGGACTGGGCTCCCAGGGGAGACAGGCTGTGGCTGAGGCCCTCCACTCACTGCATGTGACACTGTAGAAACATCCAGTGCCCAGCAGTGGACCCTAATTCTCTTAGTAAGACTTTGCATTGCTGAGCTCCCACTAGGAAAGGAGGTCATGGAAAAAGCTGTCAAAGAGTGAAAGAATGACATGAGTGCTCTTGCCACCAAACTCCTCATTCAGAGCGAAAGCCTGCAAAAAAAATCTTTAGATTTGCTTGTTTGTTGCTGTCTGACATCTGAATAGACTAAAGTGCATGCTTTGCTGTTTTTAAGATCAGTTTCTTTACTGCACTGCATTTCAGACAGCCTGATGTTTTAGTCGGAGGACATAGTACCGTAACAGTATTGTATTATTATTATTATTATTATTATTATTATTATTATTATTATCACAAAAGGTGTTTTTTGTATCGACCATATTTCATATTTTAAGTTAACACTTTAGTAATACATTTTTACAAAGTTTTCTATTTGTTTAAAAACATGTATTTAGTTCCACATTCTGGACACAAAGAACATGGTTGCACATTCTGAGGTTTTCTTTTTTCCAATAGCAAGATACTTCCTGGAATTTTGTATGTTTCCTTACAAACATAATCTCAGCCTATAAAACTTTAATGTGTTACCAGGGGACATTCTGACAACAGCATTGCATCTGTCTTGGGCTGGAGAAAGGCAAACAATTTGAACAGAGATTGAACTGGCTACCCTAGAATATTATAGTCAGACATGCAGATATGAACATCAGAAAGCAGAGCTCTGTCAGTTACCTTTCATATATATTTGTTGGCACCTGGATCACATCCTTTCTGTGCAGTTGTTGTGGCTGTGATGCTGTTAGCCAGGTTAAAGACACTGCTGTGTGAAATGCTACTTAGCAGGTTAGCAGGTCGTAGTTTTACAGAGTGTTGACACAAACAAGCAACCTCTTTATACTCTCTGTTGTGCAACATTCAGCATTTATCTCCTCCTTTTCACTCAGTTTTTCCTTTGTAATGCAGAAACACAATTCCACAATTATCTCCTGCTGAAATTGAGACGTTCTGTTTTAATTTGTTTTAATTTTAATCTTGACACATCTGTGTTTTGTAGTTCAGCTTTATGGGTTTGTATTGAGAAGCATCGATGTTAATAACAAGGAACGCCAGACAATGAGTCAGTTAGGTGTGATTGATAAATATGCTGGATTAATGACTACAACACATCATACTGGCTGCTCATGTACAGTTTACTTAGAACTGCTGTGTTCAGTTGTTTTTTTAAGATTTTGATTAATGTGACTTAAATGGCTTGATTTTCTCTCATTCGACCTAATAAAGTTATATATAAAAGTCAAAAACATTATTAGAGCCTTAGGACCTTTTAATGTTCATAACCTATTGTAACTCCTTTTTGTATCTAAAACAATTACCAGTGATAGAGAAATAGAAGAAAAAGTCCTCTGTCATGTAACCTAAAACCTAAACCTAAATCCCATTACACACTATATGATGCAGTTGATTGCCAAATCATTGTTTACTTAGACACTATGAGGTATTTCCAGATGTATTTTTACCATATTGAATTCAGTCACCTTGCTAGGTTTAAAGTACAGTTAATATCATGTATACCGAGGCAATAAACGTGCAAGTTCTGTCAGATTAGGATGAGGCAAGGTGATGTAAGGATTCCTTTATTGTAACTACTGACAAACAGGCACTGACTTCAACTGTCATTAATTACTTGGCCTCAACATAAAAAAAAAAACAGTTTGCTGTTGAATTGTGATGTGAGTTTATGCTTTAGTCTCCAGTTCTGCAGCAGCCGTCTCCCAGTACATGTTGAATCCAGTGACAGGGAGGCCACTGTAGGGCTAATGTTTCAATTTTGACTTAGAGAACACTTATTCTGCACTTGTTGCTGGGCTTCTGCCAAAGCCACAAGAGGTATTTATGCCACGACTTTCTTGCCCTGTTCTTTCCTACTTGCATTACAGAGAATGCAGCAATTATTAAAAAATTAGAAATTTTCTAAATATGTTGTTGAGTCCTGGGAGAGCTTGCTGCAGTTTGACATTCCTGTGGCGACAACGGGCTGCCAGCAGCTCGGCACACATGCCTCTGTGTGTGTGAGCTGCTTCTCTCCAGCTGCAGGGGTTACCCACAGTGGTCCTCTGACCACTGAAATTAGGGTTCGGAAGGTGAAGTAGGATGAGGACCGGAGAGCAGTGAGAGATTATTAGACCCGCACCTCTGTTTGACTGACGAACATGATTGTCTTGGATATTGTCAAGAACTCAGAGGCTGCCTGTCTGGCTCTGCTAAACTGGCTGTGTGACTGGATGATGACATGACCTTCTTAGTGATTAACTCATAAGGCGAAACTATGACATATGTACAGTTTCCTGCTGTTATAAGTAGTCAAGGTGCGGTGAATTTTTGCATAAAAAGATTTACAGCCGCAAGGACATTCTCTTCCAGTCTTAGCAATTTGCACATTCCACATCTGATGGACTCAGAGTTCAATAAAGCCACTGAAAACACAGACCAGGCCTTTGGCATGTGTTCACAAATGCAGGGTGTGCTGCTTTGTCAAACCAAAATAACATGTCTTTCCAGAAGGATAGCTACACTAAATTAAACATAAAAGTTTGATTTATTACAGCAGCCGCTGGTTAAACTGATTAGAGTAGGTGCAGATAGGTGAAAGTATACTCTGGAGAGTTCATCGCTGTCCCCTTACCTTATCGACGTCCAGGCGAGGCCTCTCAGCACGCGCTGGGAGACCGGCAGACCCTGGAAAAGGATGTGCACTGCACTCCCTTTCCCGTTGTGAGGACCTCGTGCTGTGTGCCCTGAGTACCTGTGCCTTTCCTTCTAGGCCTACACCTCCCACGGCCCTACTGTCATCATGCCCACCTGGTTCTGTACCCGGAGCTGGTTTGAGCACGTTGGCAAGTTTGACGAGGGAGGAAAGGTAAGATCTTCCAAACATAATCTTTCCTGTCTTTTCATTCCATAAATATGAAATCAAGCAGAATGTCCTGCCTTTCTAGACCATGCTTGTTTGCATGCACTTGACAGGCCTCTGGATAGGAAGTCATGTTGCTGGAGAAAGGCATCAGCACACATCCCAGCGGAAAGGAGGTGAACACCGGGAGTCACCTCTGGAGGCAGGGGACAGTTGGACCTCCTCTGCTTAAGAGAACAAAATGAGAAAACTGAATGGGAAACTTAATTTCAATTGCTTCCGTGTGATGCTTTGCTGACCCGTTTAATTGAAAGATTCTTTCTCTTTTAATTCAGTTAAGAGGATTTTCTCTGTGCTCCGTCATGGGCTTGTGTTGGTTCCTGCAGGGAGTCCCGGAGGACCTGCTGTTTTTTTACGCCAGCCTGCGGAAGGGAGGAGGGCTGCTCCGTGTGGACGAGTGTCTGCTGACCTACCGGTACCACCCCCAGGCTGCCAGCTTGGCCGTGCACGAGTGAGGACCCCGCCACCCCTGCCTGGCTCCTGTCCAGTCCTGGAGTCAGTCAGAGCACACCCTCGGGGACACAGGCACACACAGACACAGTGCAGACGCAGATGCAAGACATCTTTCACAAAACACGACACCAGCTAGCTGTAGCAGAGGGTGGCACTGCCACCAGAACATTAGACCTCCAAACGTCAACCAACTCAGCTGCAATGTTTAAATGATTTACCGCCTTAGGAAATTACAATGCCAAGTCGACGCTTTTATTTAATTTTTCTTTCTGAGATTTTTCCGTTTTCATTGATGTGTCTTGCATCTAAGTCTCTAAATCGGTAAATGATTACACTGGTATTACCTACCTGACTATGGAACAGGGTGCAGAGCAGTAAAGCATACAGCACATTACGCCTCAAGGAGTTTGAAATTGCACAGTGTTTAGAGTGGCCAATAGAAGCAGAGCTAATTAAATGAGTAATGCATTTCTAATTCCACAGTCGGTTTGACAGAAGTATTGCACAGCTCATTAGACACCTTCTTCAAAGAGACGCCCAGCACCTAGTGGGTGCACAAAGCTAAGGGATTTTTTACGCAATCATAGACTCCTGTTAAACAGTCCTTAAACAAAACAATTTATGCTGGGATTATTTTGTTGTATCCATTGTATGAATGGAGAGCCTTAAAGAAATATGCATCATTATTTAGAACTGAAATAATCTATCCTGTCTTTTTTCAGTAAACATGAAATCTAGTGTTGCTCCGGACAACATTGTAGAGTACTCTGTGATGTGTTCACACTGTCCCCTGGAGCCCACCACATTCCAGGCTAGCAGTGGACGTATTGTACAAAACCAGTGAATTAATTTGGCAGATATAAAAATTATTTGGGAAATGTACTGGTAAGATATGCTGAAGTGGGTTTTGTGTCCATGAGTGCAGTTTGGTTCCAGCTTGGTTTTGCTTCCCTCTGATGTGCTCATGTGCACCTCCTGCATGTATTAATGCCAGGTCAACAGCCTAGGCCAACCAATGCAATACAGGTTTGTCAGTGGTGTCCCCAGTCAAGCCCTGTTTTTCAAGCCCAGCACAATGCAAGTTTTCCAAGCAGCAGAGAAAGGTGACTTTCACGTTTAGTTTAACATATTACAGGGAACAAGGAACAGTTATTTTAATAGTAGCCCTATCAGTCACAGAGATGTTATCAGGAATGAGAAAGCAGGACCTGCTCTGGTCTGTGTTTAACAACCAAGGCTAGAAGTATAAAGAGCTATTTTAGTGTTCTATTGGAAGAACTATTCTGTGACTAACATCAAGCTGTTTAGCCTCTCTGTGAGTGTCTTTCAACAACATGATTTTTATAAACAAATATTTTAACTTTTTTAATAGTATATGCCCTTGCAATATGGTCTTTTGTGTAGTAGTATTGTGTACTATATGGTGTGTGTGTAGTGTGGTCTGTGTTGTATAGTGGTGTTGTACACTATGTATTGTGTAGGGTGATTTGTGTTGTGCACTACATGTTGTATAGTGCTGTGCATTCTGTCGGGTGGTCTGTGTTGTCTACTATGAGTGTGTTCTGTGGGATGGTCTGTGTTGTCTACTGTGTAGTGTGTTCTGTGGGGTGGTCTGTGTTGTGCATTGTGTTGTTTTGTGTGTTCTGTGGGGTGGTCTGTGTTGTGTAATGTGGTCTGTGCCCCTTTGCCCATCTCCATTGACATCCTTTCTGAAGAAAGACACTCTCTAATGAGCAACAGGAAACAGCTTTATATACAACAGAATAAAAAAAGTGCTTACGAAATGTTAATAGCCTTTGTTGAACCTCTGGTTAAAAACCTATCATTTTTTATGAGTTCCTTTTGTTTCTCTTTTTAATTTTCAAGCCATGCTTTATATTTACCATTTGTTGTGTTTAAAGAAAAGGTACACAAAAGGTGTTATTTAGGCCAAATCTTACTGTTGTGTTAAAGCAAGTGAGTATATGGTAAGAAATTTCCTTGTTTTTTCAGTAACGTGAGTCCCGTGTGATGCAGGATTCCCATACTGTATACCTCTTCACTATACTGGAATCATTCCATGTTATTTTTGAACAGTTGAATTTCCTGTGCAGGATGATTGCCCCTGTGATCTGCCATGCTGTACAGTTATTATTTGCCAGGGTACCTCACAATGAATTCTGATTTTTAGTCTCGCCAAGACATGTCACTTGCTGTAAAAACTTTCACAGGTCTCTTCTGAAGAAAAGCACCTGTAGCTTTTTTCCAAGTGCACTTTAACATCATTGCCATGTGTTATCTAGAATAATGGCTTCCCTTTATAGTCAAGATACGAACCACTGAGGATGAATCTGAAAGAGAAGAATGTGTTTATGGGTACACCAGGATTATCCACCTGGGCGATGGCTGGTCAGAGAGGCAGAGATACAGGGTGTTGGTTCTGGAGCTGTGCTGTCTAAAGACATACTAACGCACAAGCACACTTGCCAAAAGAATGTGCTTTTCCTCTTTACTTTTAACCTCTTTTGATGTACTACGAGTCATAGTTTCTAATTTTATTTTTTCTTGTCTGTATATTTCCTGAGAAATTACCCTTGTGTTAAGTTTCACTTTAATAGAAACTGGTGTGTTGTGTTGCAACAACCTCAACAGGAACTACTGTAGAATTAAATTGGGTTTAACTTTTTTTTTATGGAAAGGGTGTAGCGATAAACAGTATGATTCATATTATTTAGTATATTTATACAAAGACACTCATAGAGGGATGTTCTGTGTATAAATCGTATAGTAATTGTATAGCATTAGTGACCTGCTATATTCAGACAAGCAACCATGATACACTGGATTTCTCCCACTTTTCAACAAAATGTCTAAGTTCATAATATAGATATTTCACTTCTGTGTTAGTGTCTGAGTCAGGCCCTTCATATCCCTAAATCAGAGATGCAGAATAGGGATGTGTGTGTTTTGTCTGGGTTTTTGTCTTGGTCTGAAGGGATTGACATTACCTCTGTTTCAAGGTTTGTTAATATAGCAAAATGTATTGACACATTTTATTTGGATGGGTCGTGATATCACTCATTAGTGGAAGGATGGGGGGATCCTGCGATGGCTCTGCCTCAAGGGTTAGGTGTTTCCAGTTGCACAGAGAACACATCTCAGGTGTGGACTCTGCTTTTCCAAAACTGTTTCTTTAGAAACAATACTGTCTCTCCTACCAGATCGTTTTGTTTTACCTTCAGTAAATATGGTGCTTTACATCAAATACTAAGAAAACCTTGTTCATAATGAGGAAGGTGCACAATGAGAATAATAATAATAATAATAATAATAATAAACTTTATTTTATATAGCGCCTTTAAAGGTGACTTCTCAAAGCACTTTACAGGATGACAATAACAATAAATAAGAAGAATACAACAATAAATAAGAAGAATACACAAGATAAGACACAATTACAATATACAGAGGAGACCGTGGAAGGTGGTACTAAGAGCAGAGGGGTGAAGAGTGGAACCAGTTAAGTAAAGTCTTTTCTGAAGTAGAGGGTTTTGAGTCTGGCTTTGAAGGAGTGAATAACCCGGCGCAACAAGATTTTTTCATTCCTTGTTGCCCCTCTGAAGTCTTTATGCTCAAAGCGCTTCCCCGCTTCCACCAAGACAACAGCTCCTTCCGGGGAGCCGCTGGACAGAAAAATCCAAAGAGTTGCAATCAGTAGCCGGGACCTTTATTTATTACAGTTCTGTCCACCTTTTATAGTTTAACCAGCACATTAACAGTCAAGGTGTGTGTGGAACAAGAAGAGGAAAGGGGCGGAGAAGCTAGAAACCTGTCTTAAGGATTGCAGCGGTGCACTGATGACCGCAGCAAGTTCCATTTTCGACTTCGCCTTCCTGCCCTGTCTCTCCCTCTGTTTGTGCTGTCATCCTCTTTGTCAGGCTCAGCCCGACCGACAGGACTATTCAGTCTGCTAATTGAGCAAATGAAACATGTTTTGTCAAGTCCAATATCCTCTTACAAAACTCTTTTCAAGAGCAGCCTGAGATGCCTGTGTCTGTGTCAGTTTTCACCAAAGCATCGTACAGACTGGAGGTCCTGAAAGCCAGAAGTCCAGTACAGCCCGGAACATCCTAGCTGTTGTAAAAGCCTCAAATATGTTTTACAGCACGGGTGAAGCAAACAAAAAAAAATGATTTCCTAGTCACAGCTGTTCGCTCCATCCGTGTCCAGTCCAGGGCAATGGGAAGCAGGCAGAGCACAAAGACAGGCCCAGGATCGGGGTCCGGAAATATTGATTGCAGGAACCTTGTGCTGGAAGTTTGATTTAAATCCATGGCTACATACTGCTCTAATTAAACTTGATCATTCGTGTGTGCATTTGACAAAATACCTAGGAAGGCACAGACCAGGCAGGGAGAGTGCCTTGCTATAGTGACGACTGTCGTCTAGATGAGCAACGCCCCTTGGTCCAGGCTGTGTTGAAATGTCCTAGGTCAACTTGCGGGCCTTTGGTCAGCCTTTAATATCTTAATCACTGATTGAAGTTACAGATTTCGCAGGAGATCTCCTGCGCACAGTCCTTAGTGTGACTGTCATTTCTAAAGGTGGCTCTGCAGGGCTGGCCTTCAGATCATCATAATATAGCAATTAAATTATTCTCATCTCATTTAAGTGCTAAAATGCCTAGTGGGAAAAGAGCCAGTTGGGATAACAAAGGCTAATTAAACTGAGGACTGAAATAATCCTGTCTGTGTGGATCAAAAATTGCATCCTGGCATTTCTAAAGTCTCCTTGTGTTGCGATGCCAGTTATTTAAACACTAACCTTCTTCGCTGAAGATTGTAGACAATTCCAATGGAGATGCTAATTCCCATCCCCGGTGTTAAATATTTGTAATTTTAACAAGCATTAAGGACACATCTCAACAAGGTGCTTTCATACCTCAAGGCCCACGCTTGTGTCTCGCATGTCTCTGTTTCTGAGATGGAGGTTTAGTGTCAAGGTACAGGCAACACCAGT